GTAAGGGGGGCGGCCGGCACCACCCGCGCCCCTCCGGCTGCCTCGTACTGCGCGAAACCGCGTGTCGAACGAGTTAAAGCTGAGCGTCACGCGTGTTTTCTGTAACTTCGTGGGGTCGAACGCCGAGGGGTCTCCTCCGAGCGGACCCTTTGCTGCGTCTGGTGGCTCGGGTTTATTTCTGCACTTGTCACCGCCTCCGTCTGGTGGCCGTGGGCACCGTAAGTGAATCGAAAATGGGGTAACGCTGAAGGGATTTGAAGAACCGATTATAAAATTACTGTGTTTTGAGTGATCGGTGGCTCAAATGCACTTATTTCCTAGGGAGAGAGCAGGATATTTACCAAAGTTGTTTTTTCAAATATACGGCTTTTTAGGAAGAGGACTGTAAGGCAGCAGCTCACTAACTTCACCCTGTGATCAGGATTTTTCATATTTTTTACCTCCAATGATGTTTAATAGATGAAGCCATAGCAATCTAGGTATGCGTGCTTTGTTTTTCTGGCACGTAGAAGCCAGCAAAAGAAATCCTGTCTGCTGCTTCAGCATTAAAGGTGTGCTCTGTGCGAGACCCGCTATAAAGCGTGCTGTGGCTGAGGATCTCGTAATGTCTTCGGTTGAATTGCACGGCAAGGGAGAGAAGGGGTGAGTTTTGGATCGGTGAAGGAAGTAGGAGTAGTTTCTGTGATCCGCAACGTTCTGTGTTCAGGCTGTGGGATCCTCACAGGCAGAGAGAGAGTATTTGCTTTTTGTAATATTTCTCTGCTTCCACTTTCGTCACGTAGAAAATAAAATTCAGAAATTATTAAAACTGCAGTAGGAAACTTATTTCCAGCCTTTGCTGGGCACGTCTACTAGTTTGTGAGCAGATTGACATGCCAGTAAGTCTTGAAACCTAAAACTTAAGGGAAGGCAAACGTTTACTTTTCTTATTAATATGTTCTCACTTTCCTGAAAGAAGCTGTGTTCTGTTAAGGGATTGAGTTACTGCCAAACCCTGCGCTCCTCTTGATAATTCTGGCGATATTTCTTTTTACACTGCTTTTAGAGGGGCACGTTACCTGTAGGGCAATGCATGTTATATTTAGGTATTACAATGACAAAGAAATCACACAAAACTATGTAGTTTTTGCATTTGCTACATTTCTGGTTAGTGGCTGCTTTAGCTCTCAATATTTTTGGTTCTTTCTTGGTTCTCTCTTTCTGTGGGAGGGGATCAGCTTAGTGGTCTTGTGAGTTCCAGCACAGCTGACTTAGCCCTTCAGCTTGGCAGAGATGGATTAAGTGAACTGCACCCAGGATACTTCTGTTGCCTTTTTTCTTTACAAGTGACTTTGGCTGGAGGATTTACACATTTGCTATGGATATTTGAGGTTGCTTTTATCACGTTGTATAAGAATAGGAGCTTGTACCTAAAGAAAATTCTGCTTTGTCTTTTGCTCGCCTCACTTTGATGGAAAGTGGGTGTCCTCGATACCAGAGGCATCTGCACTTTGGTACGCTGCATTTTGGTATCTGCGTCAGTGTGTACACAAGTATGTATGAAGACCTAAAGAAAGGGCTTGATGCGAGAGCTTGTCTCTTTTATTGTTGTTGTTTGCTTTTTTCTCCACTATATAATACTGATTTATAGCCACAAAGCGCTCTTGCAAGTCCTGGAAACTCCCACTCGCTTTAAGTGTCTTCAGCTCAGCCAAGCTGTCCCACTGAAGCTCAGCAAGACTCCTTGTGTAACCAATAAAGGATCGAACGCGTAATTTGCAAAGCGCTTTGCAATCTTTTTGGTAGAAGGTGGTGGTAAACGTAGGATACTGTTAAGCTGATTATAGTGATTAGAGTATTTCACAACTTTCTATTTCACAACTTTTTGTATTTGTAGTATATTTCAATCTCTGAATGCATCTGCGTAGATAGATGGAAAGAACACTTCTCTACTGGGGAAGGGGTGTGCTGGTGGTGGGGAACTACTTTTTGTGGGGTTTGTAGTGAGGTTTTTTTGTTTGGTTTTGTTTGGTTGTTTTTTTTGTTTGTTTTTTTTTTTTTAAATAGTTATTTATTTATTTTGATCTACTTACCAATTCATTAAAAAAATGCCTAGTTCGGGATTATTTAAGAAAATAAAAAAGCTTCCCTTCTCTCCCCACCGATCTGGAGTAAACTACTGTTAGGCTTGCACTGGAAAGAAGGCTGTTTGAACTGGTTTAAAAGTCAGATTTAAACAACATTAGCTTGAACTGACTTGAAAGGTGAAACATATATTTTTGGTTCTATTGGTAAAATATATTAAGTTGTCAAAGCTGGTAGGACAGCATTTTCTACAGATGTCCCGCTTTTGCCTGTGGGCAGAAGGTCTGTTGTCTTGGAGCTTTCTTGTTCCCAGCAATCTCAAAACGTTCAGAGTAAATATAATTTTTACTCATACACTACAGCATAAAGAGGGAAAACTTCAATTTTTCTTAGTCATTTGTTGGGGGTGTTTCGCACTGGTGTCAGGGATTATTTCAACAGTAACCAGGCAGTAAGTCTTTTGGCTTCCCTTGTCAGAAATATTCACTGTCAAATTGATTTGAGGGCCCTTTGATCAATTTCCCTGTGTAGTCTATAATCGGCAGCTTCTAGATGGTGTTTTCAGATAAACTCTGAGAGCGAAGACGCCTTCTGAAAGCTCTGGGGGAAAGAGGTATTTCATTAAGTCACACTTTCTAGTTCCACGTGGGAAATGGAGCAGGTTGCAGCTTGGTAATATTACGTAGGATGTGCTAGAGGTTTTGTAGGTGGTGGGCCAGTAAGCGCATGTAACTCTTTCTGGGTTGGATTCGGAACGTGCGCCGGGCAGTTGTGCTCTTAAATGACTTTGCCTTTTTGTATAGGCTGGTGTAATCCAGCTGAGTTTGGTCAAATTTATCCTGATTTACACTGAGCGCGAGTGGGTGAGATCAGAATTAGGTTTCTGGGCTTTTTGTGTTGACTAATCCTTGCAGTGCACTGAATCAGAATATGAGCCCTCTGAAACTGGGGCAGCTAATTTTGAAGAACTTCAGGAATGTTTTTCATGTGTTCTAACAGGTGGCTCTCTTCTTTCTTCTTTTTTATGATTCAAGTAAAAGACCCGTGTTGGTTCTTCAGAATGACTCTCTCTACTCTCAGAGACGTCCTTACACCAGTGAAGATGAGGCCTGGAAAACCTTTCTTGAAAATCCCCTTACAGCAGCTACCAAAGCTATGATGAGCATCAATGGTGATGAAGACAGTGCAGCTGCCCTTGGACTGCTCTATGATTACTACAAGGTAGATTGGTGTGGGTATGTGCTGGCAGCCAGCGGAGCTCTTGTTCCACCTGTAGAAAAGATGTCATTTGCTAGAGGATTTTACAGAAGCTGTGAATAGATCATGTGGTTTTTAAATGGGAAAAAAAAAAATCCATCTCCCTTTTTCTTAAAATTGGTTTCTTTTTAGCTCGGAAAAAATAAGATCCCCTGGATCTTAATGTAATGGGTCAAAAGCTCCAGTAGCACTTTGCCTGTCAACTCCAGGTTCTGCAGGAGGCAGTGTATTACAGAAATAGAATGAGGCTTTGGGAGCATGTCCCTGTCTGAATGTAAATACACATGGAAAAAGACATTTCTCACCTTTTGCTCATGTGATCCGTGTAATGGTGGGACTGTTGGCTTTTGCTGGGTCTTCGATGTGCTTAGTCTCAGCTGCATTTTTGGTGGTGTGTGGGGCATGAGTGTCCACCTGGAGAAGTTGCTGTCTGCAACCCTCTAACCTTCAGTGAGCTTCAGCTGCCGTAATCTGTTAATCCTTTGACAACTGTAGTTATCTTCCCCAGTGGTCACGGTCTTCTCAGAGACATGTGCCTTCCTAGATGCTTACAGGTGAATTGAGCACAGTCTAACAGATAACCTTCTGGTTTGCGTGGGATATGTTTTGCTGAGGTTTCTTTCCTAAATACCAGAAGTCTAAGCCAGGGTAGTTATCTTCGGTCCATGTCCAAGTCAGTGGAGACCAGCAGGCGTTTCCAGGCAGGGAGGTGTCCTGCTTGTGTTAGACGCCTGCATTATGGTGGCCTGGCTCACCAGGTGGAGATGCCTGTTTTTATTCTTTGCTGAGCGTGCAGGGAGGCTGGACTTGGCTCGCATGCCTGACACTTTGGCTAGTGTCTTTTAACAGTAGTGAGTGCAGTTGCCAGCCTCAGTATGTTCTTCAAGCACGAGGAGAGGTTGCCTTGTGCATACAAAATCCTTGCCTGCCCATTTAAGAGTTGAACATGTCTCTCATATCAAAATATTCTTGTAATGCTTAATATGGAGATTAGCACTCCGCACATGACAAAATACCACAGATTCACTGATGTGGATGTTATTCAGCTAGTTTTGTGAGAAAACCGGCTTTTTGCTTTGTTCTCGTGCTTGCTACGCTTTTGGGGAAAAAAAAAAAAACCCACACCCATATTTTCACCAGAATGGCTTTAATCCACAAAATCCATTTTTATTTCTAAACCTGTAGATTACAAAGAGAATGTTGATGTTGATCCTTTACGCTTGGCAAAGCAGAAGGGATTTGCTGTACAGTAATGTCTAATTCAGGGTTTCCTCTTATGTTTGGGTATCAGTGGGTGTACAGAAAAAAAATCAGTGGAAGAACAGGTATGCCACACACTTGGATGAAGCGAAATGGTTACAGGTTGAAAGATTTATTGAGGGCTGTTATGAGGTAATGCTAGAGGGACAACGTCTAGGCATTTTTAATACGCCCCCTCTGCAATATTAAAGGCAGTTGCTGAGATCACCTTGGTATTAAAAAAAAAAAAAAAACCAACAAAAACAACTTGAGTTTTCTTCCGTTTGACCAATGGGCTACCCTGATAGCTCTACTGTGGTTAATAAGACCTTACAAGAAACAAATTTTTGATCAAAATTGAGAGTTAAGGAGTGTTGGCCAAATGCAGCTTTGAAGACCCTTGTTTTTCAGTGGTTAGTTAGTGTTGGCCTCCTAGCAGTCTCCAACTACAGCTTCTTGAAATTGGAAAAACCAACAATTCTGGTGTTGCTGGAGATTCCAGGTTATGTGGAAGAGCCAGGACTTAGGTTTTAGTCCGGGGCTGTTTAGAGATGTATGCTGTTCATGCAGGTATGCCATCAGCCTTCGAGTTAGCAGTAAAGTAGTGGTTCTCCACATTGCACCTAAGCTAGGAAACAGAGGCAGTATCTGAGCAGGCTTCAGCAAAGGAAGACGGGGTGGGGTTTGCTCCTCCTTACACCAGAAGGTATTTGCTTTGCACATTCAGGAGGCGTGTGAGGGTGACAAAAGTCCTGGGCACCATGTGTGGGTTTGCAGAGGAGCTTGCGTGGACTTGCTGTGCAGTTGAGGGAACCTGAGCACCACAGGCTTGTGCCAGCAGTTGCGAGAGCTGTTCGGGTTGCTGGGGTCCTGGCTGGGTGCTACAGTGAACCGAGCTGCTGCAGGTTGAAGACTTTGCCTTGGCCTTGCAGCACAGTCAGGAAAATGGCATGTGTCTCTGTGTGGACAAGGTGATCGATGTTGTAGTATGTGGTGTTTTCAAGGCAAATCCTGTCTGTGGCATAAAATACGATGAGCAGGATTGAGCTGTTGTAAATCCAGAGCACCGGTGGCTTCCTTTTGTCTATGAAAGATTTCGTACAGTTTGGGCCGTTGCGTTGTACATGGCCACGCACAAAAGCAAGTTGTAGCATCTCAATACACTTGTTGGACCTGATCCTCCCCAAATCCACTGATGTCTGAAGAGAAAGGAAAGCCTTGAGTGGTCTTTGAGGAAGTGGCTTAGAGAGCCCGTGTTCTTGCGGAAGGGGCTGTGAAGCAGCGTCCAGCTGCTGAACGTCCAGCAAGCTGAACCCTGGCAGCCTGCAGAGGAGAAAACCTGCACTGCCAGCACAAACCTAGGGGGCTCTCCTACTGGTACTGCTCACAGGGTGCTTGTGCTCTGGTGGATGGTTTTCTGCACTGTTTTTCCCAGCTCCTGGCACTGGCAGGAGCCCAGGGCTGACACAGCTGGCTGGGTTGGCTACATGGGGATCTGTGGGCATCACCTGGGGCGGGCCTGGCATGCCAAAGCCGTGTGAATGCTGATCAAGCTGTAATGCTAATAATGACTTGTATCAGAGAGTGATGCTTTTTAATGTGACCAAATGGCTGCATTTTGATTTTTTATTTTATTTTATTTTATTTTATTTTTGTCGGGGGGAGAATGCAATTACAGCATGTCTTTTATTTGCCAGGTTCCAAGGGAGAGGAGATCTTCGACAGCTAAACCAGAGGTGGAACATCCTGACCCAGACCATAGTAAAAGGTATTAGTTTTTATTATTGCATGTCTGCTTATCTCCCTTCCCTCCTAGACCACCAAAGCTGCTGGAGGAAAGTAACTTACTGCACTGCAGTGTTGCGCTGGAAGAGTGAAATTGTTTGCTTTTACTCTGTGTTCCAAATTCCTGTGCTGCCCCAGAAACAGGATAGGGATTGGACCATGATGTGGAGAGCTGAGGCCCAAACCGCTTTTCGTTGCCATCCATCTACTTTCTGTCTACTGGTGTCATACAGTCAGCGTAGCAGAAGTGGCTCTTTTTAACACTAGGCACAGCCTGGTAGCACAAGCACCCCTTCCCAAGGCTGCAGTGGTGACTGGTGACCCTTTTATTTGTGCAAGCTGTTGCCTCAGTTGCTCACTGCTGGTTTTGTTCTCGGGCATCAGCAGCGTTGCGCGTTTGTGCATGGACTGATAAGGAAGGACTTCAAAGTGCTTGTGATTTAGTTTTGGTTTTGTTTTGTTTATGGACTTCTTTTGTATCCTCTGGAACTCTTTTCTTTCTTCCTCTTCCTGCCCTCCCTCTCTTGTGCCTACCAAGCAGAAGATGATACTGATTAAGTAAATATTACAAATGTGAGGTTCATTCAAGCCAGGCTTCCAGTCCTTTTCCTTTGGACAGCTAGAATGCTTTAAGGACTCGAGGTGAGGTATTGTGGTCTGGCTGAGCTGACTGAACAGCTCATTGTTGAGAAGAGCAGCCTGGTTCCAAGCCATGTGTTCCCACTGTTCCCCTCATAAGAGCTGTGGTCTTCCACTGACCCATAACCTAGCAGGAAAAAAAAAAAGTGGCTAGTTTTCTGCCAGTGGAACAAGCTGAACTGGCTCACCAAGGGGATGGGGGAGCGTCAGAATTGGTGCGAAGGAGAGGGCAGGACCACATTGTGGGGAGGGAGAAAGGAAGGGCTGGCTGACTTGGTGGCTACTAGCTATGAGGTCAGCTCAGCCGCAGATCTCAATATTGTCCTGGCAGAAATGAGCGTGGTGGGGTGGAGGGTGGGAAGTTATGCAAACCACTCCCAGGAGTCTCAGTGTAGATTTTCTTGGGGGTTTGTGCACAAAGGAGGGGTATAATTTCCCTATTAGGGCTTCCCAGGTAGCACGCAGTCGTAGGGCAGAGGAGCGGCAGCCTTGCTCTCAGTCCTTCTCCATCCACCAAAGAGCAGTTTAATGGAGTCTGCGTGTGCCGATGCGTGGTGGGAAGGGCCTTGAAGTGCGTGGCTTTGGACTGCTGTTTTCCAAGCAGTGAGGATCTGGGCTGTGAACCCTCATCCTTTGCTCCAGGGTAATTTGTCTCCAAGGTGGTGTTGTTAGCACTGTGTGGGGGTTTGGTTGTTTGGTTTTTTTTTAATGAATTTCTCAGCTTTTTGGGTTAGGATTGAGCTGTTCTGCACAAGCAGGAGAGTTGATGTCAGCTGTCCTTGTCCAAAAGGCAGAGAACTATCTCTTGCTCTTGTTTAATGAGAAAGTGAGCTGGATAATTTATGATTTTTTTTTTTTTTGTCCTTTAAAGGAACAGCATCCCAAATGTAACAGAACAGTCGCTCATTTCTGCTGGAGAAAACAGAGTCCAGGTTCTGAAAAATGTGCCTTTCAATATTGTTCTTCCACACACCCCCCAGATGGGCATGGACAAGAGAGGCCACCTTACAACCCCTGACACAACAGTCACCGTTTCGATTGCTACGATGCCCACCCATTCCATCAAAACGGAGACGCAGCCCCATGGCTTTGCAGTGGGCATCCCACCAAGTGTCTACCACCCCGAGCCCCCTGAGCGGGTGGTGGTCTTTGACAGGAACCTCAATCCTGACCAGTTCAGTTCCAACACCCAGCCTCAAAACTCCCAGAGGCGAACGCCAGACTCCACCTTCTCAGAGACTTTCAAGGAGGGTGTGCAAGAGGTACCAAGAGAGGCGGTTGGGGGGGTGGGGTGGGTAGGGGGGCGTGTGTGTGTGTTGTGATCTGGATAGAGAGATCCAGTTCAGTCTTTAATCTTGTTACATGAGCCAGCAATCCAGTGATATAGGAATAGAAGACTTTCTGAGAAAGGTGAATAAGTATAACTTGGTAAATAAAACCTTCACAACATGAAATCATTATCAAAAGTGAATGACTAATCTTAGCAGTGACAGAGCCTTTGGCTTGGAGAGTGTGGAAATAGTTATCTTGATCCACAGCACCAGGTCAGGTTTTGCAAGAGTTCAGCACTCTGCGGTGCCTTTGCAGGTACCAAAGTGAAGTGACTGTGTCTGTAAGCTTCCTTGCTGCCAGTTTCTAGGTGTGGTGTATGCCGGTGGAAAACAGTTTATTTAGGGACCTTGAGTGAGAGTTAAACCTGGATGAAAACCTGTGGTTTTTGTTTTGTGATACCAACTGAAAACAACAGCGTAACTGTGTTTTGATTTTTAAGCCAGACCTCAAGGAACTGTGTAGCTATGCCCTTTCTTTGAGATCTGGGAAAGCTTTAAAATGTTGCCCTAAGCTGACTTAGAAGGCTTTTGAGATGTTGTGCTTCGTTGACACCCAAACGTTTTGGATTAAAACACTGCTCAAGTGTCCTGTTTGTACAGACCAAAAATCAGTTGTTATCTGATGATCAATTTGCCTTCCAGAAGTTCTGTGGTAATGAGTATCTGTTTAATCTTGACTTTTCTTGTTCCTGCTGTGTTAATTGTCATGTTGTGTTGTTTGTGTCTGCCTCAGGTTTTCTTTCCTACTGAACTGAATCTCCGGATGGCCAACATGAATTCAGAAGATTATGTTTTTGACAGCATTTCTGGGTAATTCTTTAAGGCCCCTGTTTGCCTGTATCCTCCTATTCTCTTACAGTGGACCACGAGCAAGCAGCACAGCTCATGCCCTTCTGCACTGAATCTCTATCAGGCACCGGGGGGGCTGTGGATCTCAAAACCACAACAGTGTCAGCTCATTTGATTTTTCACAGTTGAAAATCCTACTTTTATCTTTAAGGAAAACTACCTGCAGGGTTGGAAATACCACCCAGTTTCAGTTGCTGTCCCTGTACCAACTCTCTGTCCCATGGGAAGATGCAGTGCTGTCTGTCAGATCTGCAGTGGTCTTGGAGCTGGCTTCCAGCTGCGTCCTTCTCCCTGGCCTGCCTGCCTTGCTCTCTCCCTGCTGGAAATCTACAGCAGAAATAGGAAGCATGAAACTCATCTGAACGCGAAGGGAGGAGAATAAACTAGTTGTTTGGTTAGTTGCAGTTGACCAAGAGGGAAGAGAAGACCATGGCAATGGAACGGCTTAGTAGCTTGTGAATTTAATTGAATTGCTAATAGATACTTTTCTGTTCCACGAGAGCAGCTTGCTGCTCTCAGCCTGAATAGGGAGCTTCCAGTCTTGCTTGTTGATGTGTCTTGGGATTTAGCTTGCCAAGAACTTCTCTTAAATGTTCATTCATGAATGAAATGATTGAAAAAGGGGCTCATCTTGTTTTCCAACTTCCTTGCCTGTTCATGGCTTAGTGAGTCAACTAACGACTCTGGAATTTCTCCAGATGAAATGTGGAATGTTTAATCAGCTCTCCAGGAAAATGGCTTAGGAATCACTGCCCTCTTTACTCTGTAGGAACAACTTTGAATACACTCTGGAAGCCTCCAAGTCCCTCCGACAGAAGCCCGGGGACAGCACGATGACTTACCTGAATAAAGGTCAATTTTATCCGATCACACTGAAAGAAGTCAGCAGCAGCGAAGGAATTCATCATCCCATCAGTAAAGTCCGAGTGAGTGGCAGCTCTTGTGATTTCTTGGGAAGGAGAGCATGTACAATGGTAGCCTTAAACTCTCCCAAAGTGCAGCAATATAAACCAGCGCATCAGCACTAAGGCCGGCTTGCGTGCTTTCCTGTGTCCATGTTCATTCCTTTGCTGTCCACCTACTTTCAGACCAACCCATCTTGGCTCAGTCTGTTAAGAAGTGGTGTCAGCACTTGTGTAAAGGTGATGCAACACCTGGAATCAGATCCTTGAACTCCAGTTAGGAGAGCAGTTCTGCTCATCTCTGTTGTTGACCCAGAAAGCGCTGCTGTCCGCCTTCCTGTTTGGCGGCAGTGTGCCAGGTACACTGCCGTGTGTCGAGTTGGAAAGCCTAAAGCAGAAAACCGAATACCAACAAGAACTTCCAAAACAAATGTACTCTCTGGCCTTTTTCATGTGTATGTGTTTTGTTTATTTTTAATCTACCCCCTCCCCCTCTCCTTTCAGAGTGTCATCATGGTTGTGTTTGCTGAAGACAAAACAAGGGAAGATCAGCTCAGGCACTGGAAATACTGGCACTCAAGACAGCACACGGCCAAACAAAGGTGCATTGACATAGGTGAGGAACACTCTCATTGCTAATGTCGAACTCCAAACCTAATTCCTTGGCAAGAATCTAGCTTCTGCTAGAGCTTTTTTATTTTAAGGAACCTTTGGGTCATGCTCTCTGCTATCCATAGCTTTGCTGAAAGCCCAGACAGAGCTTTTGATTGCTTGGAGCTAATGTAGTTTTTAGGACTCCTTGAAGGGCTGATTTTTGGAGGATTTTGGTTGGTGAGCAGGCTGAGTTTAGGGTTTTGCATTGGGAGATCTAGCACCCCTTCCAAACTACAGTTGTTTTGGCATATGCTGGTGCTTGTAGCTAAATTGCAGCTTGTAGACTCTGTGGCTCTCCTAAATATTGTGTTTCTCAAAAGACAAGATCCTTGTAGAAATACCTCAACACTAACAATCCTCCTTCCCACAGCTTCACTCACAACTGGTCTTTGGTACACGTAAAAAAAAGAAAACACTGCAAATTTCCACTTGCCTCCAGACAAGGCTGGGACTGGCTGGCTTCCAGCCTTCTCTGGCTGAAGGCTGGGTTGTACTCCTCATCCCTTCCTTCTGTGAATAAAAGCAGGGATTAATCACTTGGCACTTAAAGCAGACGCGCATGCAAATCTTTGCTTGTTATTGAAGGAGTTTTATTGAGAGCTTATGCCCTTGCTGTACAGGGTAGAGTTTCCCGCACATAGCAGGTTATGGCACAGGACGTGATATTTGGGATGTTTGGGATGATTTGCCTTTCTCACTGGAGTTTCTAGTTTGGAATTTCTGCCAAGTCCCAGTCCCATTTTCTTCCTTCCTCCTCTTGTTTTTTTGTTTTTGTATGAGAACCATTTCCAGTCTTTTTAGTGATCCATTCTGAAGTACAGTTCAGCTTCCTTTGCCCCCAAGGGGTTGCTAAAGAGTTTCAGTTTCTGGCTGCTTTGTGTGATTAAGGACTCCAGTATGGCCTCTTCCTCTCTCTCCTGTATCCTTTCTAACAGCTGACTACAAGGAGAGCTTCAACACCATCAGTAACATTGAGGAGATCGCGTACAATGCCATATCCTTCACTTGGGACATCAACGAGGAAGCAAAGGTATGTGACCACAATTATATTTCCTGTCCTTTTAGCAGATTCGGGGACTGGGGGAGGGGAAGGGTGTGTGGCCTACCTGGTGATTAGCATGTAACAAGTTTGTTTACGCTCTTCAGTTAGGCAAAACCTTCTGGCTATTTCTTAAGAGGGTTTGCATGTGCAACTGCGGAGAGCTTTGCAACTGCTTTAAGGTTCTTGGCAGAAATGCCTACCTGACAGACAAGTACTGACAAAAGGAAGCACCGAGCGTTTCCAGAGCAGATGAAGTGGTGCAGGAGGCGTTATGGAGTGTAGCTGGGCTTGGCAGGGAGCACAGTCTCCTGGAGGATCCCCGCAGGAGGCAGGGGGCAGCTTCTGAGGGAGTTAAGCCTGTGGCAATGGGCTTGCCTTTAGCAGAAGAGGGAGTAGCTGCTGCTGTTGAGCTCACAAATTCTGCATTGCTGGAACTGTGGATCCCAGCACCCAGTGACCTATTTCAACCTAGAGCAGCCTCCTGGTGAACTCTGGTTTGATCTTTTTTCAGAACTGTGGGCATTACAGTAGGTGTGTAAGTATGGGCAGCTTCCCTAGCTAGTAGCTAACTGGAGCTGTTTGAAGCCACTCCAGCTTTTGAAAAAGGCCTGTGCATCTTTTGGGTGCCAGGATGGCAGGTCAGGGAACGGAGTCACCTCTGTTCCAAAGGCATTTCCCACTGGTATGTAGCTGAAGTCAAAGTGCAGGAGTTCTGTTTGGAGAGTTTCATTGCTGCCTGGGTTTTCAGTAAAAATTCGGAATGGTTTCCTTCAACTTTTGGAGACTGGCTGTTCCGTTGCTCATATGTCACGTGCTGGTTGCCACCATCATGGGGAAAACTACTGATGGCTGGAGAGTGCCATGTCAGGGGAGAGCCTAGCTTTGGGGACATAGGAGCCCTCAGCAGAGAATGCAGAGGCCCTTCCCTTGAGCTGTGTGTGCTCCTATGCTCTGCAGGAGGCACAAGGGGTGGTGTCACTGCGCAGAGCTCACTGTCACCACGAGCTTTGCTCCGTGTTGCACAAGGGCTGTGGAGAAGAGACAGGGAGAGGTTCTATGGGGGCTGCTGTTGGGTTTCAGCTCTGTGGGAGAAGTCTGAGATGCTTGACAGGCAGCAGCAAGGAGCTATGTGTACTGTTCACGAAAGTGCTGCCTTGCAGCATGCATGACATTACTTGTGAGGCTGGCATTGGGTGCCAGGCTTCCCTGTTCACCAGATTTGGCCTCAGTTGGGTTGAGAGGAATGGCAAGGAGGGTCTTACTTGCTGGAGAATGCTAAAAGGCTGACATGATTTTCGAAGCATGAAGCACTTTGCTATGTGAACAAACAGATGAAGCTTCAGAATGGCTGTAAAAAGGAGGCAGTAAGTACTCCTGAAATGTTATCTTGCTACCATAGCCAGTCTAACATTCAAGGAGCCCAGGTAATTGGTGTCTGCAAGGTACTTGGGCTTAGGATTTGCACACAGGGATGGATCATGTGGACAGAGCAATGATTTCATGTCTCCAAGGAGTTAGAAGCACTTTGAAGCTCTGCAGCTGCCTTTCTGCTGGCTGAGCTACCTTACAGCAGCAGGGATGGGGCACTAACCCAGGAGCAGGATTTAGAGCTGATGCTGAGACCCCTGTGGCTACCCCAAGAAAAGCCATCTCATCCCACTAGGTGACAGAGCCCAGCCCTGTGAAGCAGGTGGTTATTGCCCAGGTACTGTGCAGACCGCTGAATGAGTAGTTTCAGTCTACAGTGAAATTGCCAATAGCAGCTTGAAAAGGTCTAAGGACCCTCATGGCAGTATTTCAGCTCAGGGCTGAAGTTCGTGGGATAAGGAGGTGTGAGCCAGACTGGTTTTGTAGCTACAGAGGCATATTTGCTTCTAGATTCACAGTCTTAGTGTGTGAGATCCACATACTTGGAGTATTGATTTTTATGAACCTGCAGAGAGGACTGTTGATACCAAGAACGCAAGCCTTGGCTCCTGGGATCAGAATCATATTACGACAAAAATATTCTGGACTTCAGTGTTCAAAGAATTGGCATTTTTAGTTAGTGCTTTGTGTGTTTAAACGTCTATTTAACTTTCTTTTTTCCCCCTGAGTGGATATATTTTGTCAATGGTTGGATTTCTCACCAGTAGAGCTTCAGTTCTTTCTCAACTCCTGTGATCTTATCAGGAGATGCCTGAGCCAATTTCAACAATTTTTATTGCATGGTTCATTTACCTTGCATGCTCTCTCTCTCTCTCTTTTAATTTCCTTTTCTTTTTTTTTTCTTTTTCCCTCTGAACAATAGTCTTGAAGTATATGAAGAGAGCTGAGTTTCTGATGCTACAGAAAGTCCTCCACTGTAATAAATACAGTGTCTTACATTTAATAACAGCAGCAGTGCTGCATAAATGGTATGTTTAACCAGGCAGCAAGCCTTGATTATTAGAAATTTGCTTCCTGAGCCCTGGAGTTACCTGGATCAGAGCCAGGTGATTCTTCTGGGGTTGCTGCTTCTCCCATTTTCCTCTTGCTCCGAGTTTGCTGTGGGAATGATTTGATCCTGTGCAGCAGTGTCAAATGGGAAGTGATGAGGCTCTGCGCCTGGGGTTTCTGATGTAATTACTCATTTAGGCACCCAGGGCTCTGTGTGTCTATCAGATTTAAGGGAGAAATAGAACATTATCACAAGAAGTTGCCCCTAGCAGCTCTGGGACCAGGTACTTGCCCTTCTTGTCCTAGCCTTCGTTGTGGGAGATGTGCAGAAATATTGGATCTCTGCCACTTTGTCTGTGCAGGAGAGTGTCACCTGCCTGAAAGAGTGCTTTGCCAGTTCTCTTGAGGCACTTCAGGGATTTTGTGAAATACAGCTTTCTGGCCAAGAAATGCTGTTTTCAGGCAATACAAGTCATGTACTTGCTCTGTTGCAAGGAAAATCCACAGATTTTAGAGCTGCGGAGTTGAAGGATGGAAAGGGTGTTTGAGATGCCCTCAGCAACCAGTATTTCCCAGCTGCGTTGTGCTGGGAGAGCTGAGGGCAATTCCGAGGCTTTGGATGCTGGGTGCAGCAGGCAGGTTTGGCTCTGCACGGATGGAGTTGTCACGCAGCTGGCTGCATTGGTGTGCTGTTTGTGAGCCCATGTGTGTAGAAACGAGGAGTATTCCATGCATGACAGACACTTGCCACTCTGGGATCGGACAGTGTCCATGGGTTTTGGAGCAGACGCTGTGTGCTTCTTTCTGGTAGCTCCCCTCTGCCCTCTTCTGTTGCTTTGGGACATCACAGGAGCTGCTAGAAGTGGCCACTCTATGGAACACGTTGGGTATTCTCTGAGTGTATTCAAGCTGGAAAAGGACTCGGTATCCAAAGCCTCCTTGCTCTGAGACAGTGGAGGGAGACGAGTGTGGGGAGGAGAGGACAGACTGCCCCAAAGTGGTGCTCCTGAGACTGGAAGGAGAGTGAGGACAGGGTGGAAAGATTGACAGGAGATGCTGTGGAGTGGGAAGTGGTGATTCTGGTGGGTTTCCAGGTGTGTCTGTGTTACAGGTGGGGTCTGACCCCTCCACCTGACAGATCAGGGGAGGGGAAGAATTGGATGAGGAGGCAGTCATGCATTTATGGAGAAAAGGGGAGATGGTGAACTGGCAAATTAGTTGATGAACTGGTGGGTTTTTGAATTGAGTATTTAGGAAAGCCAGCACAGCTACTCAGTCAGGAGCCATCCTGGTTGGGTGGAAGCATGGTCTGATGAGTCTGACAAAGATGTATAGCTGATACACACACTTGCACGCAACAGGTAATGCTGGAGTTACCCTGAGGCTTGTGGAGGCTTCAAACAGTTTCCCACCCTGTCCTAGATGTCTGCCGTGTTGGGCAGACAATTGAGGTGGGGTTCTTCTCCTGCAAACAGCTTTTAGATGTCTGAACGCAAGCTCGTCATCTTTTGCTTCTATGACTTCATTAGGGATGGGGTGTCTAGAGCTGGGGTGGAGCTTTCTCTGGAGGTGCCTACCCCTCCTCGTTGACTGAGCAGGCTTGGCCATCTTTAAAATCAGGGGATTTTAAAGGTAGGGAAGGTGGAGAAGAGGAATCGTGTCCTTGCAGCCCTTTTTTTACCTCTGTATGTTAATTGGGAGAAGCAGTCATAGGTTCAGGTCATGAGTTTTTGAGGCTGGGAACCATCTCTTCCTAGGTCTGTACAGCATGCCTGGTTCTCCTTCTCTTGGTTGGTGTCCGTTAGAGGTCTTGTAATGAAAATTGCCACTACATGCATGGTTAAATGCACGTTTCCTTTGAGAGTTTCCTGCTGCTCTTCATAATGCTGGTCACTGTCTTGTTACCTCTGCTGTTACCCGTTAGGCTGTGAAGCAAATTCTCTATCCCTTAACTTTGGCCTGGGGACATGGCCTGCTCTCAGGTCAGTGGCAGTTGAACAATCTGGACGGATTGGTTTCCCCAGGGTTAACTGGCTTTGCTGGATCCCGCTTTGCTCAAATCCTGTCTGAGCTCCTGCCCGGTGGAGCGGGAGGGCTGGGGCCTCGTGTCTGAGCAGGGCGAGTTGTTGTCTGCATGGTGAGGGCAAGGGCCTCTTTGCCCCATTTTTGTAGTCCTAACAGCGTGAGGACCCTGCTGTTGTGCTGGGGCACCCCTTCCACACTTGTCAATGGGTTGCTTCTGAAATGCAGTGTTACTTCAGCAACGCCCAGAGAAGGGCCCCTGTGGAGGTCTTCTGTCTGGCTTGCCTTAGGCTGGAGGGTGGGACTGGAGCCAAAAATGATGTCACTGCACATTAAGGGCTCTATTGTCCTCTCACTCCTCCCCCGCCAAAAAAAGGCATTGTAAGCCAGATGCTCTGTGTGAAAAGACCTTTCTACCAAAAAGGGATACACGGTGAGGGTGTAACCAGGGGCATTCAGAGCTGCAGAATATTGTGGTAGAGCTTTTTGCTGTCTTTCCACCAAAGGGAAGGTGCTATGGTATCTCTTAAGTGACACCCTTAATGACA